TTTTGTCTTTTTCCGTGTCCGGCAACGGATCGCAACCCTCAGTGTTGCCCCCGCACCGGACCAGGGACCGGCAACGGGACAGCAACCCTCGGTGTCGCCCCCGCGCCTCGCTCAGCCAGTGAGCGGGAACCGGTCCGTATGTGGGATCCGAACCCTCCAAGCGGCGCACTATCCAGTGCGCCACCGGGCCGGCCCCCCAAATTCATTTTTTTTAAGTTTAGTTTCCTTAAGTTCTTTCAGGGTTGTCATCTCTGCTAAGCCTGCCAAGCTTCCAAACAACTTCTGTCTCAGACATTTAACTCTGAGATTAAGGAGTCTGTTAAGGACTCTGAAAGTCATTAAGTCAGCAGAGGCAATACTACCAGTTTTTAGAAGCTATAAACACTATGACTTTAATTCACCAGGGAGGTGAAGTCTATATTTTATCTTCTTTTTTGCACTCAACATTCAATGAGTTCTTTTATTCTATTTCTTTAATGTATCTTCTAGGTGTATCATCGCTGACCTCAACAACCCTGCCTTGTTCTTCATCTCCCTCCAGGCACTGGCCCATTTCTCTGTTCCCAATCACAGCAAAATTTCTTAAAATAGTTGTCTGAAATTCCTGTCTCCCTTCCATACCACTAATTCTCTCCTCCACCCTTCCTGACAGGTTTCCATTATCACTGCCCCACTGAAAAGACTTTCATCAGTGCCATTGATGGCCTCCGTTTTGGCAAATCAAATCATCACACACTGTACACAGGTATTGATATTCAACTCTAAGTTTTCTATTTTTCCTCCTAATTCAGTTGGCTGTCCATCCATTATTTCCTGTTCTGGCTCCTTCTCTATGCAACCTCAAAATGATGGAATGCCCCACTGCTCACTGTCTCTCTCCCCAGATGTGATCTTTTTCAGTCTCATGTTTATAACTGTCATCTATTTGCTCATAATTTCCAATTTCATATCTTTGGCCCTTTCTCTCCACGAGCTCAAGGCTTATATATGCAAATGCTTGTCTGAGATGTCACCTGGATGCCTCAAGGATCTGTAATTTAAAATGGTCAGATGAACCCATAATTTGCTTTCCTAAATCTGTTCCTGCCATAGTCTTCCCCATCTCAGAAAATGGCACCATGATCTACCCATTAGCTAAAGACAAAGATTAGAGAGCATCCTTGACTTACCTCTTAACCCTCACAACCTACGTCTTATTGGCACTACCACCAAAATACATCCAGACCACCTCACAGAGCCTTCTCACTGTTTCCACTGCTTCTTTTCTTTCTACCCTTTGATTCTTCACCTACTTAAAACCCCCCATGGCTCTCCATGACCCTTGCAATAATGCTCATATTCTCCACTGTGGCCTGGAAGGCTGTGCACAAGGTAGTTTCTATCTATGTTTCAGGCATTACCTTTTTCCACTTTTCTGCTCCTCATTACATTCCAGATATCCTGAATTTTTTTCCTGTTCCTGGAACGATAGCTTCCTTCCCACCATGGGCCTCTTGCAGCTGTTGTTTCTGCTCTACATGCACTGTTTGCACACATCTTTACCCACCTGGGTCACTCCTATCATTCAGGTCTCATTTTAAATGTTATCTTTTCACAGGAGCCTTTCCTGACCATTCAATCTAAAGTGACCAGTCACATGCCTTCAGTCGTCCCTCTCAGTCTTATCACCTGCTTTATTTTCATCACAGTGCTTACATCCATCTGAAACAACCTTGTCTGTTGAATTGTGTGTGGTCTGTCTTCCCTTCTCCAACTGTACGGTCCATGAGAGTAGAGGCCATGGCTCATTCAGCACCTAAAACAGTACCTGGCTTCCATTAGGCACTCACTAAATATTAAAGAATCATATTATAGTTCATACTTTTATCATTTTCCACCTCGATTTCTCCAGTAGCTGCCTCTCTGGTTTCCCCAGTATATCCCAATACCAAACTGCATCGAGTGATGTTTCTGTCTAAGGTCATCCATGATGACCTTGTAGCTCTCTCGTCCTCCCCTCTCTCACATTTGTCCTGTGTGCCACAGCCACGTGGACCCCCTGTCTGCTGGCAGACTGTGCCTCACGCTTCCTGCCTCCTTGCCACTTGGCCTTTCCCTTGACATCTTTCGAAATCACAGCCCCACTTTGCCTTGTCTCCAAACTAGAGCCCGTAACTCCACTATTTCTAGTACATGACTCCATTATTGTTTTTCTCAGACTGTAGTGAAATTACTTGTTTATAATCTTGTCTCCCCTACTAGACTATCAGCTTATTAAAGACCTAAAGTTTCTTGGTCATCTTTAGGCCAGCAACTGGCACTGTGGAGACCCCTCAACAAATGATTGCTGAGTTGAACTGAACCAAATTAATCCCAGGCCACATAAAAAATACACGTATACTACCACCACCCCCAGGGGAAAAGAAAGTAGTTTTAGCCAAAATACCGTCTGTCCCATATCATAAAAATAACACTGAAAATAATACTAACAATATTCATTGAGGGCTAACCATGCTATTAATTTATGTGCAGTGCATTCTCTCTCTTAAGAGTGATATTAGGAAACAGGCCTACAAAGGTTAGTAACTTGCTCAAAGTCACAAAACTAGTAAGCCCCAAATTTGGAATTCAAACACAATTTTTTCAGTGATCCAAGACCTACTACATCTCCTTTCAAAATTATTTGTAAGGAAAGTACTGGTCATCATGTAACAGACATGTTCAAGGGTACCTGTTCCACTTGACAGAACCATGTGATTTATCCAACCCAACTTCCACCCAGACTCTGGTCTGCAGAGATACAAGAAGGCTGCAGAGACCAGAACTGCTGCTGGTGAAGCAATGAAAGGATGAGCCACCTCAAACCCAACCACATCCCAGGCCCACTTCTTCGTTCTCACAGGCCTTTGGTCTATCTAAGCTGGTGTGATTAGATTTTCTGGTTCTCTTAACTAAAAGTATCTTAATGAGAAGTCATTAATCCTGATGGGTCAAGTTCCTACTGGAACCAACATATCCAGACTTGAAATCGATCCAAATGACATTACCTACCTTAGGCATGCAGATTACCAAATGTCCTGTTGTCTGTGATCTTTTAGCAGAGCTGCTGTCAGGTTTGACTTCTGCAGGAAGGACAAGCTGAAACGGCTGAAAATAAGTAGGAGGGATCATGTAGAGTGCGGGCATGTTACAGGAGAGAGTGACCTTAATAGGTATTTTCATTACAAATTCAAGATGCACTGTTCAGTTAAGAAATCTGCTTAGACTTATTAGAAAATAATATATGAGCTATGCTTGATATGCATTAACTATTTTACTATTTTAATGAAAAGCCTAAAGAACAGTCATCAATCACAAACAGTGAAACATTCATGGGTCCATTTATGGTTGAAAAGTTTTATAGATAAAACTTTTTGTCATAAAATATCAACATATTTTCATTTTAAAGTCTTCAGTCTAACCCATATGAATGCTCTGAATCAGCAAAAAAGTACCACTTCAAAAATGATGATACGATTATAGTTGCTATGAATGTAAACACTGACACTTTAGACTAGCTATACTATTTAACCTCGCGCGTATGGAACCACACTTATGATCATGGTATCAGCTTTGAAAAAGCAGAACACAATAGACACATATTTAAAATATTAATCTTATCAAGCCCCACAATGATCAGAAGACATTTCCACTGTATACCATATTACTATGGCATAAAACCATTGCCTAAAAAATAGCACTCTGATTGGGCTTCTCTTTTCTATTTTAACAATACCTTTTAAAAACTGAAGCAACACAGCTTAGTTCAGGCCTTAGCCATTGAAACTGTAACAGTCTGCAGAGTTATACTTACCTTTCCTTTGACCATTACTCGCACATAAGTTGGCTGCACATCAACATCAATTAAAGAGGTATCCATATACCTTCAAAATTAAACATGCCAAATCTTACAATTTTCAAAAATGTTAAGTTTAAAGAAGTACAAATAAAAATTCAAAGCTATGAGACCATTTAAAATAAAGAAGGTTTAAAATTTCCATGCTAAACAGGTCTTAAAAAAATTAGTCTTAAATTAATCCCCAGACCAAAGGAAATTCAATATATCAGCAATTTCATTTTTAGACCTACAAGTACACTTGGCATTGATTGCCCCTAACCCAAAAATATCTGAGGTCTGAAACACCAGAGGTTTGCAAAAAAACAGCTTGCCATGTTATTTCATGAATATTTTATTTTAAGCCCCTAGGATTTGAGTAGCCAGGAATGCTGAATCCACTCTGCTTGGGGCCTGTAACCACCAGCTCCTGTTCCTTGGTGGCTCCGGATTCCCTGCAGCTGTTCTGCAGCTGCCCTGATACCATCTCTCCTGGAAGACTAGCTTCCTTCACCCCTACAAGGCACATCCTGCTGAACAAGCAAAGCCTCCCATTTATGGCAGTGACTCCAAGGTCAGGTGGCAAGTATTCTCCTTGACTCATGAGCAAATTAAGGATTTAGATTTCACATTATTCGTTACACTATGAAGTTTAGCTGCATAATTATTTGTATGTATTTTAAAATACTGATATGAATGTTAGAAAATGTAACAATGATTCAAAAGTGACAAATATTAAGGGAAGTAAGCTAACACAGGGTTACAGGCAGGCTTGGGAGTCACACTGACTTATGAGGAATTGACTCCACCCCTTCCTGCTTTATTACCTTGGACAATGCCCCTTAACCTCTCTAAGCCTCAGTTTTCTCATCTCTAGAATGAGGATCCTAATAGTGCCTGCCCCCTAAGATTGCTATGAAGGTACATGCACAGTGCCTAATATACAGTTAGTGTCAATAATTACTATGTGTTATTTTTAAAATATTATAATAAAAAATAGAGACATGGTTTCCTACAACTTTATGTGTAATATTTGCCACTTTAATGGATTACATATTCTTTTCCATACTTGACCTCCTCCAGGCTGTCCCCGCCCGCAAAGCTTTTCTCTGCCTCTAACTTTCTTCTGCCCGTTCTTCTGCAGAGCAAATTACTTCTCATCCTTTAATTTTTATTGCTCATGTCACTATCCTTCACTGACCAACCCACACCACCAACCCCTGGACCCCCCACACACCACTGTTCTGAAGGACATGAGTCAACAAGGGCACCTAGGGTGAGAGTGACACAGGAAGTGGTCCCTGAGATCAGCAAAGTGTTTTGGAAAAATAACAACGAGGGATATAAAAGTAAAGTGGCAGCAGTGACAGCAGTGGGGTCCTTGTGGTATCAACATCAGAAAACAGCGGAGCTCTGAGAACCGTCGAAACTCTGCCTTAGATATTCTGGAGTTCACAGCCATGGAATTGTGGGTTTAGTTACTTTTCTTTTCATTTCTACACTTTGTTATGATAACTTCTCTGTCATAAAAAAAATATACACAGTTCTTCCTCATTTAACTACATGGCAAACCAAATTCCATTTCAAAAGGCTTCAGAACTCAAAAGATTGCTACTGAAAATGAAAACAGACAGAAATGCCATTAATTAGATACATAGTAAAATGTCTTTACCTATAGACAGCGAGGTCCAGGATGATCTGGTTACGTTTTTCATCATCTTTCAAAGAGAAGTCAAGTCTAAGAATAACACATTGGGGGAAAAAAGAAGTCTTTAGGATACCGTATCGATAACCCCATCACATAATCAAATGTAAATTTTATAATAATCATATAATAATCTCCAATGACAAACTTACTTTGGTAGTTGGACAATAAAATGTGTATGTTAATTTTAAAATTTCTACAGAGACTTACAACATATCAATAAATTATTTATGTTTACATTGTTTAAATATGAGACTTTTAAGGTAAATTAGATACAAAAAAATTAGCTTTGGTGCAGAGACAGAGACATCTGGTGGCTAAAGTTTCCTTTTCCATTTCATTGACTTTGCTAGAAGCAAACTAAAACACTGGAATTATTTGTGGAGAACTAAATGTTGTATTTGCCTCACCTTTATCCAGCATTCTATTCCTGATGTTTTAAACAGTACTGTTTTCCTTTTTTCCTTTCCATCACCTTGAGAAAGGCAAGACACTGCCCATTATCCATTATCCCCACTTTACAGATGAAGAACAGAGGCTCACTGAGGTTGGTATAGCTGGGAAGAGGCCACGGGAGCCTGGATAGGCAGGACTGCAAAGCCCTCGGTCTTTGAGCTGTACCCTGGGCCTAAGT